CATTGTTATATATCTTAATAGTAAGCAGTGAGAGGTCAGGAAGAGATCCTTTCTTATAAATAAGTGCCATTTTGGGAAAAACACACTCACTTCCAAAATAATGGATTCACATATAAAGGTCTAGAAATGGTTCAAGTTGCCTCTGAGATATTCAAATGTGAGTTTAAAGTGTGGTGTGTGTCTTGGGGGAGCCTGTTACCTAGTGGGGAAAACTCTGTCAACACAGAATTCAGGGATGTGTGAGAGACGCATGGCTTCTAACAGGATTCTGGATTGAACCCTCAGCTTCTACAATTGTGTCGTCCATGTGCCTGTCATCTATTTGCTCTTTCTCATAGTAGGTCAGGAATTGGGCTATTAAATAGCATCCTTCTTGCATATGCAAATAACTGAGGTGAATAGGGAGATCTCTGTGCCTTGAGAGCATCACCCAACAACCACATCCCTCCTTGGAGAAGCCCCTAGAGCACAGCTCCTCACCATGGACTGGACCTGAAGGATCCTCTTTTTGGTGGCAGCGGCAACAGGTTAGGGGATCCCCAGTCCCAGGACTGAGGGAGAAACCAGGCCAGTTAAGTGAGACTTCACCAACTCCTGTCTCCTCTCCACAGGTGCCCACTCCCAGGTGCAGCTGGTGCAGTCTGGGGCTGGGGTGACGCAGCCTGGGGCCTCAGTGAAGGTCTCCTGCAAGGCTTCTGGATACACCTTTTCCACCTAGGGTATGCATTGGGTGTGACAGGCCCCTGGATAGGGGCTTGAGTGGATGGGATGGATCAGCAGCAACACTGGGGAGCACTGATGCTGGGTATAAACAGAATTTGAGGAGGAGTGCGTGTGTGCCAGAAACCCTACACATGTAAGGGGCAGAATCCATGGTGACCCTCTGTCTCAGAGCCTCTTCCCAGGGTTGAGTGTCCTGCTCAGGTGTCAGATGACACAAACCCATTCCTCCTCTGAAAGAGCATTCCTCTGCTGAGTGTCAATGCATCCATTCCCACCCCCGGGGCAGGAAGGCAGGTGACAGAAACAAGCAGGTTTGCGGGATGGAGAGGAAAGAAAAGGGATAGGAACCAAGAAAACACCTTGTTTCCAGGACGTATAGTCTGAAGTCCCACTGCGTATTTTGGAGTCCCAGCTGAAGCTGGAGATTCTCCATTGTGAACTTTCCTTGTACAAGACAGTTCTTTGGGGGCGGGGGGTTGGGGGAAATGCTGAATGAGTTCTCCTCTTTGCTGAGCCCATGGTTCTCACCCTCTGTGGTACGTGGTGTTTTCCCTGCCCCACTGAGTCACCCCTGTTGATCCCCTACCTGTTGCTCCCCAGGTTTTGCTTCTTTGTTCATACTCTTATCCTTTTCTGGATTTCTCTTCATGGAGGCCCCTTGGTAGCCTTGAGTGACAGCATAACCTAGGTCACCACATCATAACAGGTCTGAGGACTCTTTTTGTACCACAGTAAACACACACACACACACACACACACACACACACACACACACATGCACCAGTTCCCCACATCCCCTTTCAATTCCTTACAGGAAAACACACAACTGTCTTGGAGGAATTGTTTGCATGGGCTATGGGAGCGACAATGAGGCATCACTCTTCTCTGAGGATACAGGATCTCCATGTCCAAGGAGAAGAAAGACTGCAGGTGCACAGAAGCCCAGTATTTCAGGATCTGGGAGAGGAATCACAGAAGATCAAGTACAGCAGGACTGGCCAAGAGCAACAAAGCACTGAAGGCAGGTTTGAGTGAGGAGGACAAGGTGAGGCCTGATCTTATGTATTTTCTCCTTTCTGTTGATGTGATGTGTCACACTGATTGATTTGCATATGCTGGACCATCCTTACTTCACTGGGATAAACTACGTGGTCATGATGAATGATTTTTAATGTGTTGTTGAATTGGGGTTGCTAAGATTTTCTTGTGGATTTTTGTATCTATATTCATAAAAGATAATTGGCCTGTAGTTTTTTTTTTTTTTTACTTCCTTGTCTGGTTTTCATATCAGGGTAACATTGGTCCCATGTGGTAAGTTTGAAAGTATTCCCTCCCCCTCTATTTTTTTGAATATTTTGAGGAGTGTATGTATTGTTTCTTCTTTAAATGTTTGTGATAATTCAGCAGTAAAGCCATCGAATCCTGGGGTTTTTCTTTGACGGGAGAGCTTTAATTACAGCTTTAATTTTGTGACTTGTTTTTGGTCTCTTCATGGGTTGGTTTCCTGCTGGGAAACACCAGGGTCAAAGGTGATCTTGGGTCGAGGCTTTGTGTAGACAATATTGTGGCATCAGCCACTTCTACGTGTTTGATGGAATGGAAACAGAGGCTCAGTGTGGAAACACGAATGACTACTGGCCTAAAAGAAGGGGACCCTCCAGAAGTGTCTCTTGTCTCAAGGTGGTATCAGGCTGCAGCAATTTGGCTAAAGGAGTGGGTGGTGGGAAGGGAGTACAGAGTTTGCTCCTAATCTGGGGCAATACAGCTACATGAATTCCTTCCAGCTCTCCAAATTGAGCTCGGGGTTTGCAAGCACTGAGGAATTATTTTGTAGTAAGGATTGATGATATGTGTGATTGCCATGGGGCCTCTTGTGGTTATTTTATTTAACTTTACTCAACAGGGGTAATCTCATGTGATTCTGGGTCTGTGTGAGCCTTTCAGTATGAAGCTGCAGAGACAGGGTGCTTTCACACAGCCCTACTGGGCTTCTGATAACCACAGGGACCTCTCCTCTCCCCTGCTTCCTTCGAGGTCTCTCCTTTCAACTATCCAGTCTAGTCTTAGCTGTTTATTTCATTCTGTGGTTCTGCCATATGGGATAGACAAATGTTAGGCATATCTATTCAGCTGTGATGCTAATGCATGGACATTGGATATTCCTAGCCATCTCCAAAAACTGTCATCCTCTATGTATCACCGAAATGTGGCGTGTCAATCTGTATCTTGTCAACCCTGAATAACAGACACAAAGAGACTCTAAAACGTAATATTTATTCCAGGATGTTTATTGCAATTGAAATGTGTGTGGGGGCATTCAGGCTGGTAAAGGCAAATAAAGAATTAAGGAAAAATAGGGAAGGTTACATAAGCGGTTTTGACGCAATTATCCTGGGCAGGAAGGATCAGTCACAGGGTTGACATTGCTGTGAGTTTGAACAGGCAGTTGCTGGGCAGATACACTTGGAGAAGTAATTATTTGAAGGCTGTGGTGGCCTCTGTGCAAGGTTGTGGCTGTGCAGAGTCTACTTATGACAGTTCTTGCTCTCAGAAATATGTGTGTTAGACCCTCCTTCATGGCCTTCCCCAGCTTCATTCATTGGAGTTTTAGCATAAGTGGCTCCATTTCGATTCTGATACATTTCACAAGCTCTTTCTAACACTCCTTCTGAAATAGATGACTCTGACAGTTTGCATAGAACAGGATTAATTCCACATCCACACCCCATTTTGTTCAAGTAAATTTATCCCTTCACTACTAATGGCCAATTGCATTCCCAGATGAGTCTACACACCACACAGTGGAGGGTCCTGAGCAAATGGGGAGAGAAGGAAGCCCATCAGCCTCTCCCATGTGGCTGCAGGAGCCACAGCCTGAGCCCCACCTGCGCTCCAAGAAAATGCCTTGAGGCCTGGAATGTATACTTTGGAGACTATCTGTTTCTTCTTCAGGAAGCAGGAAAAGCAAATATAAAGGCAAGAACAAACACTGCAAAGGAAGAAAATGAAATAGAATCAAAAGAAGCCCCAGATCACAGCTGATGCTGATTGGCTTTAGTGTCAGGAGAAGAGTCAGACATGAAATTTGTGAGGTTCTACATGACACTGACCCTGGCCCAGCCTCTCTGGTGGCTGTGATCTAACTGCTTAAAGACTGTTCTCGTATGGGAATCTCCCTGAGGTTTCTGTCCTGGGTCTGATTGGAGAAGACTAACCAGGCGCCACTGAGTTTCCTCAGGACTCTGATGCTGGTGACCACGGTTGAGGAATGTTCATCTCTAAGTGTCATCTGCATTTTGTGCATGTGAGAACAGGTCTTCATATTAAAATGATCTTTTTAATATTATGTCGAGAGGGATAGCATTAAGAAAAATACCTAAGGTAGATGTCGGGGTGACAGATGCAGCAAGCCACCATGGCATGTGTATACCTAAGTAACAAACCCGCTTGGTCTGCACATGTTCCCCAGTACTTAAAGTGTAATTTAAAAAAATAAAAATATGAAGGGATGATAATAGTAAGCACAGAATTCTAAACTTAGAAAGTTTCACTAGAGAAACTGTCAGAAGAACATGAAGACCCACATCCTGACAGGAAATCAGCCTCCATCTGCACATGCCTCTGGGGTTGACTCTGATCAGTGGGTCCTGAGCGCCCCTGCAGCTGATTCCCCCGAGTTTTCCTGCAGGAGGTTTGTGTCTGGGCTCACACGGGCCTCCCCTCACTATGTATATTGCACAGTAATACACGGCCGTGTCCTTGGCTCTTAGGCTGTTCATTTGCAGAAACAGCGTGTTCTTGGCATTGTCTCTGGAGATGGTGATTCGACCCCTCACAGTCTGCGTAGTATGTGCTACCATCATTACCAATAGCTGAGACTCACTCCAGTCCCATCCCCGGAGCCTGGTGGACCTAACTCATGGCATAGCTGCTGAAGGTGAATCCAGAGGCTGCACAGGAGAGTCTCAGGGTCCCCCCAGGCTGAACCAAGCCTCCCCCAGACTCCACCAGCTGCACCTCACACTGGACACCTGCAAACAAAAATACACCCTTGTCAGAAACTGTTACACATATTTACTGTTTACCTCACTCATGTCCATTCACACTCATTTTTCTATTTCTCCATGAATTACCTTTCAAAATAGCAAGAAGTAAAATCTAACTCAGCACAGTCTCCATGGTGAGTTCAGTCTCTGTGTTCATTCGTGATCACCAAATGCAAACACCTGAAAATCCCAGGGCTGGGCTCCTCTCCCAGAGCTGGAGGGTCAGGGCTGGGCTGGTTTTCAACAGCAGAGGGAGGGCTCTATTTGCATGTTTCCTGCTATATAGCAAGATCTGTGGTAAGAGACGCCTGAGGAGAGAGTGGGGCTCAGAGCACAGGACAGTGTCCTG